AGAGGTAAAGAAAAAAAGTGAGGGAGGTGCTGTCAGCCATCCACACAGATGAGTTTGAAAACTGTTTCCAAGAATGGAGTCAAAATCTGACAAATGTAGTAAGTGTAATGGAGAGCACTTCGAAGGTGATAAGGTTGTTTTGTTACCAAAAAAAAGTTAAATATATAGCTCCAAAAATATTCTGATTTGGGGGGTGGTACCTCCTCGTGTGTGTTCTTCAAAATTCCATTATCTTTGAGTTCCATTTCTCCGCGAGCTTTCTGAAAGCACCTCCAATGTGTCTATGTGCGTACGGACACATTTCGTGCCGGCTGCTTGGGAGGGGACTCTGGGCGTGCTTAGTGCCTCTCCGTGCATTTCCAGATGCTTCTACAAGGAGCAGGGACTACCTCTGCTAAAAAGGGAACGCACGAAAAAGCGTCTTTAAAGGAACAAGGGACTTTGATGCGGCTCAGTCTGCCGGTGTCGTGGGGCCCAGGGGGGCAGGAGGGGGCACAAGTGGGCAGCTGGCCAGCTGTGCCTCTGAGGTGCCCCTGACACAGCCGACCCGCAAACCTCCTGCGCGTGCAGCATACGGCTGGGCATGCGTACCAAGCAATCTGTGTACCAGGTCCGGACCCCACAGGCTGCACCAACACGGATGGCATGGTTCTGATTTACCTTCCCTCCTGGGCCTTGGGCGAGGTCAGGGAGGGCAGCCATCAGCCTGTGTGCGACGCTTGTGAGGAAGATGTAGGCAAGGGACGTAGGCAGATCACCTCCCATCCCCGGAGACCTTCCCCCCAGGCCAGGAGCAGTCCTCCGGGTTCTGAGGCTGTCACCTCTAAAGAGGCAGACTGCCTCATCCCTTTCCCTCAGAGCGGCTGGTGGATTTGAACTGCCCACCTCTTGGTGGCACAGGAGTGCTTTAACTACTGCACTCCAGGACTCCTCTGGCAGACCCAGAGCCCAGGGTTGCTGGTGAAAGGATGAAACAGAAAGCAGATGCCCTGTAGCATGCATGGAGGAATGGATGGGCTGACGGACATGCAAGCACAGAGCTGTCCCCTGCGGTTCAGCAGGAGAGGGTGTCACTGCAGACAGCCTACAGCTGGGGCTGCACTTGATCCCAGACCCAGGGGGAGAGATTCAGGCTTTTTATAAGGCTGGTCGCCTGCCAGATTCCTGGCCACAGTGACAGCCAGCATGACACAGGGCGCCCAGCCCAGAGGCTGCTCTTTAAATAGCAAGGACACGAAGTCACTGTCACCAGCTCGGTCTGATTCCCGTGTCTGGCCCAGAGAGCTGGCAGCCCCCGGCAGGCCTCAGAGCTGGGAGGGGGGTGAAGGAGTGCCATCTGGACATTCAACTGCTCACAGAGGATGGCGAGGTATCGATTAGACTCACACCCACTGTCGTTGAATGGACTCACAGGGTTCCCAACGCTGTAGACTCTTTATGAGACCAGCTAGCCTCACTTTCTCCAGAGAAGCGGCTGGTGGGTTTGAATCACCCACTTCATGGTTAGGAGCCCTGGTGGCAGTTGTGGTTGCTACTTGCAAGGTCAGCAGTTCAAAACCGCCAGAAGCTCCCTGGGAGAAAGATGAGGCTTTCTACTCCTGTAAAGATCCACAGTCTCAGAAACCCACAGGGGCAGCTCTACTGCGCCCCAGGTGGTCGCCGTGCGTTAGAATGGACTGGATGACAGGGCACGTGAGGGTGTTTGAGCCCAGCACTTAACCCCCAGCGCCACCAGAGGGATTCTTGTCACGCAGACTCAAATCCCAGCTCATCCAGCCCTGGCGGTCACGGGCTGCGGAGTCAGCAGATGTGGTTCCGGTTCTGGCCGGGCCATCTCCCAGGCATGCGGACCGGGGCTCCTCACTTCGTCTCAGTGCACAGAGGCCCGTGCGAGCGGAAACGCCACAAGACGGCTGAAAACGCATCACTTTTCTGTGGCTCTCTTTTCGGGGGAAGCAGTTCCGCGTCCCCTCTGGTAGTTCCTGCCTCACGCAGGTCCTGGCCTTGGCGGGTGTGAGCGAATGCCTTGGTTCCCTCATCTGTGCTCCCCTATAAGACTCCCTGCCACCGAGCCACTGTGGACGCCTCGTGACCCTGGGTGGGCTCCCGAGACTACCTGCTGACCTGTTACAGTGGAACCTGTTACAGCTGACCTGTAACTGCAGGAAGCCCAGTCTCATCTTCCTCTCTCAGAGCTGGCCGGTGGTTTCCAACTGCTGACCACGCGGGTCTCAGCCCATCGCGTCTCCACCACACCCCGGGCTCCATTCCTCACCACTTTCTTAAAGGAGGTTAGGGGGCGTTGCCTCCGAGGGTCCTTGAGAGCGCTGAATAAAACGAGAGGGAGAGCTACTTTTAGGATGACACCAGCACGGAGTTAAACTCAGTACTCTTATTACCTGTCACAATCTCAGCAGGGGCTCTGGAGGCAAGGTGGGGTAGGCGTTGGAGTGTGCACCTGAAGGTCGGCGGTTCAAGTGCTCCAGCCCCTCTGTGGGAGATCTGTCTGCTCCCATCAAGACTTACAGCCTCGGAAACTACACAGGGGCAGCGAGTCAGCATTGACCGACGGCGATGGGCTTTGTGGGCTCAACAGTCTGAGATGGAGGTATACTGTTCTGACCCCTGAAGGTCATGGGGAGACTAAGGTGGGCGAGAGTGGTCTGACATAAATGGTGTCTCGTGTGTCTGTCAGCATGGAGCCCGGCTTGTGTAGTGGTTCCGTGCTGGGCTGCTTACCACAAGGTCAGCAGTTCAAAACCACCCTGGCCAGCTCCGAGGGAGAAAAAGGAGACTTCCTACTCCCCTGGAGAGTTACGGTCTTGGAAACTTGCGGACCCCCAAGGGGGCAGCTACCCTGTCCTATAGGGTCAATGTGCGTCAGAGGGGACTGACTCAATGGCCGTGAAAGTTTTGAGGGTGACCGAGCTCCCTCTGCTGGACAACTGGGGGAGCGCTTGGACTGTGAAGTTCGCCACAGAGGGTCTAGGGGTTCGTTACCTCTCTTTCCGCAGACTGAAAGGAGGGAAGTCCCCGCCCACCCAATGTGCCTCCAGAGAAAGGCCTGGAGGTCTGTTTCAGGAAAAGCAGCCACTGGGATTCACAGCTCTTCTACCACCTGAGTGGGGTCGATTTGACGCAAGGCATCTCTTCCCCCTGGGAAGCGGCAGAACCCACTGTGCTGGAGGGCCCCATCCTAACAGCCACACACCGCAGAAGGGCTGTCCACTCCCCAAGCCCAGCACACAAGAGGCTGACTGCCGTGGCCCACGCACCTGGAGCCTAAGAGAGAGCGCCAACCCCATTGCCAAACTGGCGGGTTGATTCCGGCTCCTCCTCCACCTCATAGCAGGCCTGCTGGACGGAGGGGAACGGCTCCCTGGGGTTTCCACACCTGCTGTCTTTACGGAAGGAAGCAGGCGGCCTCACCTTTCTCCCATGGAGTGGGTTTGAACCGCCAAGCTTGAGGTCAGCAGCGGAGCGCTTAACCACTGTGCCCCTAGGGCTCTTTCTCTTGCCGCTCAGTCTTTTCTTTAAACGTTCTGTTCTGTGCTGAGGCCCCACGGAGCCCAGGTGGGGTGCGCGATGCCTTGGCCTGCCACCTGCAAGGCCAAGAGTTCAAAACCACCAGTCGCTTTGAGGGAGAAAGATGAGGCTGTCTGCTCCTGTCAAGAGCTACAGTAGAACCCCAGTACTCGACACAATCGGATTTCGACTCGAAATGCTGAGAAGATTTTGCCTCGGAGCTCGAACAAAACATCAGAATCTGACCTGACACCAGTGATTTTTGTAAACAAAAAACAGTTTGTGTTTCAGTCATTTGGCATTAGTTGGTGTTGTTTAAACCTTTTGCAGCTGTGTTCCAAGCGGTTTGCTATAATTTTCTTAGCTTTTGTGGCTTTTTGTACTGTTTTTAGAGAAAAAACATGGTCCTAAGAAAGAGTTTTTTTTGGAAAAGAATCATCATGATAAGGAACTGGCTAACCGTGTTACCGATATTGTTGATGATAATTTAGTAAACCCTTTTAGAAAACAGGTAAGGAAACGCCAACAGCAGACCACATTAGACAGATTTTTTTTTAAGAGAAAGCCAGCCAGGTCCTAGTGAAAAAAGGCCAAGAAGGGGGGGAAAAAGCCTGCAAAGCAGCTACCAGTTGATTTTATGGACGACTCTCTCCACACCTCCTCTCCACATCCATGTCCACAGATCCACAGCCTCATCGATCTCTAGGCATGGGCCATACTGTCCTTGTTAAAAACTTTTAAAAGCTGTGTTTCTTATTTAAATGATATTATTTAACTCTGAACTTGTTTGCTTTGAAATTTCTGTGTAGTGTTTTGTATAAAAAGGCAAGGCGAGGGTAAAAACTTGGTGGTCGAGAATGGATGAATCTGTTTTCAGCTATTTCTTATGGGAAAAATTGATTGGGAACTCGACAGCATCACATCTTGACGAAACTGGAAGGGGTTCGCGTCGAGGCCTGGGGCTCTATGGTATCGTCTTGGAAACCCCAGTGGCCGTCTACCCTGTCTCACAGGGTTGCTGTGAGCATGAGTCCCGTGTGCAGAACCCGAGGGCAAGGACGTGGCAAGGACGCGGGAGGGAAGGGCTGAGAGCATTGCAAAACTTGTCTAGGCGCCGGCAGCTGCTACTTAGGGTCAGGCTCTCTCTTTCTTTACCCACGCAGCCCCTATTCGTGTGGCTGCAAGCTGTCCGGCTAATAAGCTTTTTCTCCCCAAGCCCCCTCATGTGGTCAGTGTTGAAATTTAGGAGGAAAAAATGTACAGAATTAGACAAAGAGACACTCATAACGCCAGTCATGAGTCGGGGCCAATATGTTGGTGCATGGGCCAGCTTTTCATGAGATTCGTACCCGGCACCAACATTCTTTAAGGGGTGGAATGCAGGAGACGCTGGCAGCTTGTCTCTTGCCTCTTCCCTGGCCACTCTGCAGCGGGGACTCTCTCAGGTCACCTGGTGTGAAGGCTTTGCTCCCTACCTGGGTCCACGGCAATCAGAGTCTCTAGGTGTCTGATCTTCTTCACGGCCGACGTGGATGTGATGCTGTAGTGCAAAGGGTCCTGGGAGATGCGGTGGGCCTCCGGCATGTCCTCAGGGCTGGGGCGAGCGGTGCGTGCCTCCACAGCCCTTCTGTTGGCCAGGATCGTGTGACCGGGGGCACTGGTGAACGCCAGCGGGGTCTCTAAACACAGGTCAGGGGGGACCGAGCTGAGCCACTTGGTCAGATCCATTCTCCTTGGGCAAGATGGCACCTGGGTCTCAATTGGGCTCCCAGCCACCCTCTCTACCACTGGTGGGCACCGGCTTCGAGTCAGTGGGCTTCCGGCCAAATCCACTCACACAGCACCTCCTACTTTCAGGAAGGTGTGGATGAGCCGAGTGGGAACAGCAGTGAGAAGCAGCCCATCCCTGGCTAGAGTGTGAGCACCCTTGGGAATTCCTTCCACTTGGTCTCCCGGATGTCACAAAGCGTTCCCTCAACTCCAGCTTCGCAGGGAGCCAACAGGCTCTGAATGCTGCGATGTCACTCGAGCCCCCGTTGCTGTGGTTGGCTGTCACCGAGGCAGATCCCCTATACTCACCCCCCCCCCCACGCCCATGTGTGCCGAGGGGAGCAAGGAGGTGGAAGCCGGCCATGGCCTGTCTCCTGGACTGCCAGCCTTTCCAAGAACAGTCAGAGCTTAGCTATCATCACCCGCCCCCCCCCCCGCCCCCCACCTAAGGAACTCTTGTTTGTCTTCACAGCACTACCTTTTGCTTTGAATGATGCTAATTTTGCTCCAGCAAAGGGCAACTCAACAAGCCAACCCTTCCTGACTAGGCTTCCCGCAGAGTGAGGCAGGCTAGCAGAGTTCCTAGCCTGGCTCTAGCCTGACCCAAACCAAACCTCGCCACACTCACTGGCATCGAATCCATTCGGACTCGTAGTGGGTCTCTAGGACAGAGAAGTCTCTGAGACGCTCTTTACGGGAGTCGAATGATTTATCATTCGCTTTATCGTTCTCCCGAGGAGTGGCTGGTGGTTTTCAGCTACCTTGCTGCTGGCAGCCCAACTCCTAACCCACGACACCACCTGTTCAAATCCGGGTGGGTGCAGCCAGAAAAAAACAGAAAGGTGCTCAGAAGCGGAGCTTGGGGAAGGAAACGGCTGCGCCCTCATGAGCCACGGCTCGTCATAAGCCAGGGCTGAAAGAACATCAGCTCCCCTCAGCCTCTCTTGCTTTTTTAAAGTAGTTTGACTGGGTTTTTAGGGAATGTGGACACAGCAGATTAGGTTTTCATTGACCGATTTCTGTACAACTACATTCTACACAACTTGGAGAAAGACGTCGTGCTGGTGAAGTGGAGAGCAGTGAAAGGGAGGGAAATGATCCAGCAGGCGGGCTGCTCCGATGGGCTCTACCCTAAGAACAGCTGTGTGGCCGGCGAGGACCGGCAGTGTTTCCCTCGGCTGTGAGTCAGGCCCAGTGGGTTCAAACCGCTGGTTCCCATTAGCAGCTGAGCGCTTCACCGCGGTGCCATCTGGCCTCCTGTATCAGGGGAGGAGCTAACACATTTGAGGGCAGCAATCGTTTTTCTGTTTCCAACAACACTTGAACCTGGTCACTCTCAGCCAGCCTGGGCTTTTAAGCAGAAGCTTAAATAGTGAGAGTTGAGAAGGATTAAAAAACAATAACAACCATGTTCTAATAATAATAACAATAACTTGTAAAAAGAGGCCCAGAGGTTAATATTTAAACTTAAATATTATCAATATATTCTTTGCCGTGCAAGAGTATCCCTGAATGTGATAGGCGATCAGTTCTCATTTTCCACCAGAGAGGCCAGCTCTAGCCAGAGCTCAAGGGCTGGGGTGTGCTGTGTGCCTGGGACACTGTGGCCTGGGGTTGGGGTACTGATGTACCCAGACACCAGGGTCCAAGGCTGGGGGTCCTGTGCACTCAGGACTCTGTGGCCCGAGGCCGGGGGCACGGAGTATGACTCTATGGAAGGGCACAGGCTGCAAGTGTCTCTCTGCATGTATCTGCACGGGCAAACTAGAGCTGCGCACCTGGCACCTGGGCCCCTACCTTGCATGTCATCGGGCTCAGTACAGATGAATACAATTGCATGTGCCTTGGCACCTCTGTCTTACCCCAGGTCATGTCCCCCTATCACCAGGCCATCCTGGTGTCTAGCATCCTGGGATGCTTGTCCAGTCAAGCCACACTCAGTGCTGGGCGGTAAAGTCCAGGTGTGCCTGCTGGCCAGGCCAGCACTGCCCAGAACCCAGAGAGAGACAAGCTGTGGGCTGTAGGCTCCACTTTTCCTCTTAGGACTTTGTTTTGGAAAGGACCATATTGCTGCTTAGTGCTGTCTGTAGCATGCACCCCAGAACACAACACCATCCGGTCCAGGGCCACCCTCGCGACAGTTGTGATGTTTGAGACCATTGCTGCAGCCAGTGAGACCATCCAATTCTTTCTCACTGGCCTGCTGCTCTGCCACGCACGACGACCCTCCCCAGAGCCACCTGAGATCGAAGCACGTGTGCCTCCCCTCTCCCCCGGCTGCCCACACCTACGGCAGCTGCTGACCGCTTCAAGACTGGTCAGCTGAGAAGGCCAGAACACTGGGACATCCCCGGGCTGACACGTCACGGGCTCTCCGTAGTCAGGCCGGGCCAGGTCCTTGATCCCCAGCAGGTCTGCAGATGGACAAAGAAGACGTCATTCAATGCTGGCCGACCCCTTTCGAGAAGAAAATGGTGAGTTGACAGCTGTCATTCTCTCTCCAAAAGCGACAGTCACCTCTGGGCTCCTGTCTGAAGGCGTGCCTGAGATGGAGCAGGAGAAAAACAAAGGAGACTGCAGTGATCCGGGTCACTTGATGTTTTATAATCCAGCCTGGCTGCTACAGTCCCAAGGTCATGCTCTGTTCACGGGGCCCATCTATGCTATGCCTGCAGACAAAGCCAGCACTCAGGAGTGTACCCTAAGACAGACGGACTCACGTAACACAGACCCGAACTCTGTTAGAACCAGGCTCACTGTCGTCCCGACGGTTCCGGCTCAGGGCTTTGGTGATGGTACAGCCTCTACGTTGGGCTGCTAAGGGCAGCAGTTCGAAACTACCAGCCACTCCATGGGAGCGAGAAGAGGCTTTCTGCTCCCTTAAAGGTTGGCAGCCTGGGAAACCCCAAGGGGGCAGTTCTGCCCTGTCCGACAGGGTCGCTGTGAATCGCAGTGGGCTCACTGGTAGTGAGTTGGTTTTCTCTTTTGAGTTTCAACTCTAGTTTTGGTCACCAACAGGGCCCCACCAAACCCAGCACAGAGGAATGTGCTGGGCCCGAGCCACTCCAAGAATGGCACACAGTTCCACAGACACCCTGCTGCCGGGGGCACCTGTGGGCAGCTCCAGAGGAGGGAGGCAGCACGTGCTGACTCTTCTCATAAACCCAGGCCTTTGTTGGTCGGTGACACAGCTGAGCCAGTCCAGGAACTCTGGGTTCTGAATCGCACCCGAGACCCACCCCCAGCTCTCCGCAGCCCCTGGGCCACCCCAGCCCCCTCAAGGTCTAAGCAGCTGCCGCCTTCGGGATCTTGGGCCTTAGTTCTGCTCACCCATCCTCGAATGGGACTCATGCCCTGGGCTCTGCGCTTCCGTCGGAATTAGCACTTGGGACAACACCTCCTCTGTCTCAGCTATGCCACAGAGCAGCAGCCCTAACAGGGGGTGGCATAGGAGTCATTATGCATTGGGCTGCTAACCACAAGGTCAGCGGTTCAAATTCACCCGCCGCTCAGAGGGAGACTGATGGTGCCATCTACCCACAGCAAGGTGGGCATTCTCAGAAACCCCAGAGAGCAGTTCTGCTCTGTCCTGGAGGGAATCAGAATTACCTGGCTGGCCCAGGGCTTCTTGTATGGTTGGTTCTGTGAGCTCCAGGTCCCAGAGCAGACAGCCCTGTTACTACCCCTGCTGCCCCCACTGCAGGTGCACTGGAAGCTCGGGGCTGCCAATGGGTGAGGCTGGCTCATTCGGCCAGCGTGAGTCTCTTTAATCCCAATCCTGATTCTGGGGCAGAGCCACTTGGCCTCCTCTCGAGCCCCTCAGCCCTAAGAGCCCTGGGAGAGATGGGGGCAGGCCAGGAGAGCCCAGGGACGGAGCAAGTTCCTGTCGCCTCTCAAATGCAAGTGTAAGTGAGGCGGTGGGAGTCCCGAAAGAGAGCAGCCACTGACCTGGGTTGCCGATATGGATGGGCAGTCCACGCTCACCGCCTAGGGCGCCACTGGCCTGTACCAGCCTGCCCAGCTGGTCCTGGGGGATGGGCCTCACTGTGACCACCAGGGGGCAGCCAAAGCCAGCGCTGGGCGAACAAGGCACTGTCGTCTGTGGGGAAATCCGGGAAAGACACAAAGCAAGGGGATCAGTACACGGCCAAGAAGTGCCCCAGGCAGCGGGGTGCAGGGGCAGGTCCCAGTGGCACTTAATCGTTCTTGGTTTAACACAGGGTGTTCTAACTTTTTGGGCACGCCAGGGGCCCCTTTGGCAATCTGGCGAAGCCATGGACACCCTGCCCAAGGTCATGCTCTTTTACAAGCCGAGGATGACAGAGGAAACCAGGCCAGTCCTACGTGCAGGTGTCACGGGATACGGGTTGGGATCCAAACCACAGGGTCAGCCGTTCGAAACCACCAGCGACTCCCAGGGAGGAAGAGGGTGCTTTCTACTCCTGTCAGGAATTGTAGCCCCGACACCCGGGTTGTGGGGGGTGGGGGCGTGGCAGTTCTACTCTAACCTGTAGGTTAGCAAGAGTCACCATCGGCTCCGTGGCAGTGAGGTTTGGGAGTTTGAAGGGAGAGAGAGATCTGCGTTTCTGCGCTGACAGTGTAAGGAACAAGGCAATAGACCTGATCGTTTTCAGTCCCCAGAAGCAGACAGCAGCACACAGGGCATGTTCAAGGTGTGTGCACCAACCACAGGCGATACATGGTTTCTGTGGGCCGTCACAGCGTCACAGATGATTTAATTAGTTATCAGATGAATTCACATGAGTCCTACGGAGGTTTGCGCTAACCAAACCCACCGCCATGGGGTCGATGCTGACTCATAACAACCTGTTAGGACAGGGCGGAACTGGGCCCAGTTCTGGGACTGGAACAGACAGCCCCCTCTTTCTCTCAAGGAGCGACTGGTAGGTTAGAACCGCTGACCTTGAGGTTGGCAGCCCAACCCATAGTCAGGGCTCGGTTTCATTATTTAGCACTTGAAAACCAAACCAAAGCCATGGCCACTGGGTCGATGTCCACTCATATTGACTCTCCAGGGCAGGGTAGAACCGCTCCCTGTGTTTCCAACACGGCGGTAACTCCCGATGGGAGTAGAAAGCCCCATCTTTCTCCCTAGGAGCAGCTGGTGGATTTGAACTGCCGACCTTCTGGTTGGCAGCCTAATGCGTCACCACTAAGCCACCAGGGCTCCTTTGCACATGCAAGGGAAGGCTCAATTTCTGTTAGAGGACATGAAAATCACAATGTCCTGGTTCCCCATCTAACTTAATGGACTCTCTGGGTTTCACCTGGGACTCTGAGAGGCCCGAGGACCCAGGGGATGAACCTTGAAGAGAATGGGAGGTGAGCGAGGCAGTGACGTCCTGGGAGGCACAGGTGACTCCCTGTCTCCCGTACCCACCAGGCCATGAGGTCTGTCCCGAACCCCCACTGAGCCTGCCATTGCTCTCCCTGCCTCCACAGGAGTGGCCCAGAGTGACTCCTATAACCTTCATCGGATTTGTGTGTGTTTTCCAGAAGGTCCCTGCTGCCATGTGGTGTGGGGAAGGCTTATGACAGAGCTGGGACTATTAGGGGGGTGGGGGGGAGGACAGAGTTGGCTGCTGCCTGAAGGGCAGGAAGAAGCTGGTGTGTTGTGTGCCAGCTCAGTGTCTCTATACCAGCACGGGCAGAGGACACGTGCTAAGGACACTCGGGAGAGGCTGAGGCCTGTGTTAGTAATAGGGTCACATAGTAACATGATCCTATTAATAGTCTTACACAATCCTCTATTAAGAATATTAACAATAGATCACTAATTCTACTAGATGATATCATGCGATTAGCATGATTATATAATATTATGATATCAGTGTTGCATATTAAGGGAACCTGGTAGTGACACACTTTGTCTTTGGCGGCAAACTAGAGGCTGGTGCTTTGATCCCACCCAGAGTCCCTGATGGCCCAGTGCTTACACATTGGGGGGCCAACCTCAAGGTGAGCAGCTCAAAACCACCACCCAGTGCCTCCGCGGGAGAGAGACTGGGCTTTCTACTCCCAGAAAGAGCTACAGTCTTGGAAACCCACGGGCACAGTTCTACCCTGTCCCGTGAGGTCTCTGCGGATGAGAATTGACTGAATGGTGGGGGGGCCCCGGATTCCGCTGAGGAAGAGACCTTACGGGCCTCCTGCTTCTGCAAAGACAGAAGACAGACGAACAAACACACAGACCAACAAACCTATTGTCACTGAGTCAGTTCTAATGGACTGCAAGCCTAAGATTCCCTAAGGTTCCTGAGATGGTCAATCTTGACGGGAGCAGACAGCCTCATCTTTCCCTCTTGTAGTAGCTGGTGGCTTTGAACCGCCAACCTTGTAGCTAGCAGCCCAGTGCTTCACTCACTGTGCCACCGGGGCTCCCTGTCAATATGCCAGCCTAGAAAACTCTATGGGGCAGCCATGCCCTGTCCTGTGAGTCACTGGGAGTAAAAATGTCAATTTGACAGCATTGAGCAACAACAGTATTATATTTTCATTATACTTACATAATTAAAGGACTCACTGCTGAGTCAATTCCTACTCAGAGCAACCCTGTTATTACTAATGATTACTAATATAATTTAAAAATGATCACACAATAATATGCTACTATGATTATTAGATGACACCAGTAGATTATTAAAACTATTATATAATATGACATGTCACAGCATTAATATGACTACTATATTTTTAAAATCACAAAGTCCTGCTGGCTTTATTCCTCAAGGCCCCCAGCTAAATATGAGGAGGCCGCCTGCCCCTTTCTCCCGGGAGCCCATGGGCAGGGGGCTGACATCAAACAGAGAGCCGTGAGGCAGCCACTGAGGATAGTGGGACGTCCTGGGGAAACGGTGGCACTCAGAGAGCATCGCCTGTTTGGGGCCCTTTGGGAGGGCAGTGATTGTGGGTGGTCTTTTGTTTGGGGGGCCAGGATCCAGGAGTCCTGCAGGGAGCTATGGGCCAGCACGCCCTCCGTAGCCCCTAACAACAAGCAGCGGCAGTCCTGGGCTCCAGTGGGGCTTAATGTGCCTTACTCACCCCTGTCTCTCGCAGCTACAAATGAGGGTGAGCTCCAGGCCTGGGCCTCGTCCAGCGGCAGCTGTTCAGCACTGCCACCCAGTTTCTAGAAAGCCACTGGACGCCCACTGGACGCATAAAAGGACCCAGCTGCGGACAGCCTGGTTCCTCTTGAGGCCGCTGTGGCCTTTCTGGCCGGAGCTCAGACTAGGCGAGCTTTTCTACATGTCCGGAGCCTGAGGTGGACTCTTCTGTGTGAGCCCTCTGTACGACAGAGACTAGGAGGCTGGCCGTTTGTAAGCAGAGTACATCCTCAGGCTTTTCCAAAAGCGTCCAGGAACAGGAAAGGCCCAAGTCCCAGCAAGGAGGCAGCCCCTCACCTCCGAGGCCCTGTGGCCACCTGTGGCTACCACCAGCCCAGAATGAGGCTCAGCCCTCCTGGCAGAGACATAAAAGCAGCCTCAAATGGGCAGGGGAGGCTTTCCCACAAGCCCCAGGTGAGCAGAGCCAGCACAGCACCCTGAGGTAATGTTTGCCCTGCTGGGGTATGGGGGTGGGGGGTGGTCCCAGGAGCAGCCCCACCCCCAGATGCCCTGAGGTAAAAGAGCCAGAGAAACCCCATGGGGGCCTGGAGACAGTTTCCATGGTCCACCCTGAAGGACTCACTCCGGTGCTGCCCTATTTCCAGAGGAGGACACAAGTGCAGAGAAGGTAACTGAACTCCAAACCCCCAAACAAACTGACTGCCATCGAGTCGATTCTGACTCATAGTGACCCGACAGGACAAGGAAGAGCTGGCCCTGTGGGTTTCCAAGACGGTCACTGTTTACAGGAGTGGACAGCCTCATCTTTCTCCCCCAGAGCAGTTGGTGGCTTTGAACAGTGCACCTTTTGGCTCACACACAGCCCAATGTATAACCACTACACCACTGGAGCTCCTGGCTTGGGTCGCACAGCTGGAGAGAGGCCGAGCTGCGCTGTGAGCTGAGGCCTTAGGCCTCTTCTCTGCCCCTTCTCTCCCACTGCAGGAAAATACCAGGCGGTCCACATTCCCAAGGCATCCCTCCTGGTGGCTCCTGCCCACCCCTACCTTGTATGCAGCAGCCAGCCAGTGACCTGCTGGGTCTCTGCCAGGGAGCCCTGCGGCCTTGCAGGCTTCTTCTGGAGAGAAGCCGCAGTCCAGGACGAAGGTCACCATGTCCTTCAGCTGCTCAGAGTACTCCTCCAGCGAGGCCAGGCTTCCCGTGCACAGGCCGGACTCGTATCTCCAGAACCGCGGGCAGCTCGACCTGGAAACACGAGAGGAGGTTGTCAGGCCCCCAGACTCCCAGTCTGGCCCCCGACGGTACCTTTCTTCAAAGGCCGGTGGCCTGTCAAGAGAACATCTGGGCACTGAAACTGAGCTTGGGGACGTAGTTTTGAGCAGGGAGTCTTGCTGGCATCTTTCTCAACTTCCCAGATCAGAGACCACTCGGGCCTTGGGCTGCTCATCACAAGGTCCCAGGTTCAAACCCCACGGCTGCTCCCCTGGAGAAAGATGAGACTGTCTACGCTGATAATCATAGGAAGTCTTGGAAACCCAAAGGGGTTTCTGAGTTGATACTGAAGTATGGTGGGTCCCGATCCTAATCCCTGCTCAGTGGTGTCCTTTGAGAGGAGGAGAACAGGCAAGGAGACAGTGGCACCCAGGGAAGTGACATCCCATCAAGGTGCAGCTGCGAGCATCAAGCAGTGTCAAGGATGAAGGCTGTGAGCTTCCTGGGAGACCAGGAGCAGAAGGAGGAGAGGGGCTGATAGATAGATGTCCTGATTTGAACTTCCCAGTCACCAGCCTGGGAGTCAACAGCCGTGTGTGGCATGTTGTTACTGCCCCGCCCTGGGAAAAGCAAGGAGCAGCCCTGGTGCTGCAGGGGGTGCTGCTGGGCAGCAATCCACAGGGTCAGCAGTCGGAAACCACCAGCAGGCGCATCAGGAGAAGGGTAGGGCTTTCTACTGCCTCAGCAGTTAGGGTCTTGGAAACCCGTGTGTGTGTGTGTGTGTGTGTGTGTGTGTGTGTGTGTGAGTGTGTGTGTGTGTGTGTGCTGCTGGGCAGCAATCCACAGGGTCAGCAGT